GATGACGGCCGCCCGGATCGTCAGTACCCCGGCACCCACTGAGGTACCAAATGAGTTGCTAATCTGGAGAGAAAGGGAGAGGGATGGATTCAGACACCGTGTGGGCAATACGAATGTACTGTGAGTTGGAGTTGGAGGGGTTTTTACTGAAGGGGCGGAGGAGGGCGTGCCACCTACATCATTGGCTCCCATGACGGCAGCCAGGCCGAAGCTGCAAATGAGGCCAAGCGTCAAGACCCACGAGACAGGTTGCATATTAGAGTTTCCCACCTACAATCAGCCACCAAGACATTGGGAGCAAGCGAGCAGCCGTGAGTTTGAACCAGGTGTGGGGGGAGGTGTGGGGGGCGAAACATCAACACAAGGCCTTGACGAGTAACTCAAGGGGGCGGGGGGGCGTGCCAGGCATACCATGGGGTCAAGCATTTCCAGGTGCGCACCGAGCTGCGCCATGGCGCCGGCCAAGTTGAGTATCCCTTCAACACAAGCGACACGCTTTGATCTTGAAAAAGCAGTTGCGCGGTGCTGATAAAAGACGCCTGGCCCGTGCCAACGTCACAGCAACAACACACAAAGCAAGTCATGCAAGCATCAACCGGTGCTTGCCAACGGGCTCCAAAAACGTGTCTTGACGCTGTCCTCTTCTGAACAAGCGCGGACCGCCTTTGCGATGCCACCCAGTTTACAGGCAGCTAGGGAATCTGATGATCAACTTGTTCGCCTTCTGGCTGCCAAATCTCATCGAGATCTGGGCCGAGGAGCCGGGGCGGGCGTCGGAAGAGAAGAAGAAGAGGAAGCAGAGCAAAACTTGATGTTGATGATGTTGTAGTTGTTGTAGATTTGATGTTAAACAGTAAAATGTATCTGTTGCGATTAATACGCGTTTGTCAGAGTTATTGAAGCTTGTTTTTCAGCTGAGCTCTGATTTGTGTCGTTCTGACGGCGAGAGTCGATCGAGTGCTTGCCCGCGAGGTTGGTGGCAGACAGGGGGGTCGTCAAAGCTGCTAATGTGCGAGGTTGTGCGGGGTTGTGCGGGGCTGATGTGGCTGTGGCTGACGCTGACCAAAAGAGCAAACACATATTCGAGGCGCGAAGGCGGAGAAATAAATTGAAGCCATCATGGACTCTTGATAGAGTCAGGCCAGGCGGATAACGACGCAGTCGCTATGGACATTGCCTTGCATGTCCATGCCGCCGTACAGCACAAGCGTATCATGGTGGGAGGGGAGGGGCACCGCAGGAGTATCAGGAGAGGAAGGGCTGGGGGCTGGCGAATTGTCAGGCTGGGAATCTTCTGGTTGAGGGGGCGCTGTTGTAGCTGCGCCCTCAACAACAGCGCCAAACTGCTCCGTCACGTCCTGCAGACCCACCGGCTGGGTATCACGGCTCGCTGTCGGGTTGCTTTGCGGCGCGTCCGTTGCACCAGGGTGGTACCAGCATCGATGATCGACCATCAGCGAGGCAAAGTCAAAACGAGCCGCTACGGGAGCGTTTTCAAACTCAACTTCCTGCCATTTGTTAGTGGCTGCACGGGACAATCGGTCACGAGGCGCTTTGTCAGTCAAGCTACAGCGCTATGATGACCGTTTGCGCGAGAGGGGTCTCCCGGATCCCCCAAGCGGAGAACAATTGCTAAAATACTGACCGGGGTCGTAGAGCCAGAGATCATCCAGGGCCTCAGGCCCAGACACGGTCATGGCCAGCCCACCAAAGAGCACCAGGCGACCATCTGCCAGCGCGTGGAGGCAATGACCACTGCGGGCACAGGGCGCAGGCCTCGTTTCCTCAACACGGTCCCAAGCTAAGCTCGTACGTGGGACGGCGTAAGCCCTTGGGGAGCGCACAACTTGCCGGCCGGCCCTAGCGGGGTGCGGTCACAAACCTCCGTCCCGATAGCACCAAAAGTCGTCCAGCCACTCCTGGCCCATCATGCCCCCATGAACATAGATGACGTCTTGCGACAAGGCCATGGCATGTGCTTGGCGAGCCGCGGGACTGTGCTCGCTGGTGCACAGTGACCATATGCGATCAGCTGAGTTCATTGTGGTGATGCACACGGGGTGATGAGAGCGCACAATGTCAAGGATCTGGCCGCTTGCCAGCAACCTGCTGCCGATGAAATCAGACAATACATTGTTGCTTTTTTTTTTTTTTTCTTTTTTTCTTTTTTTGGCCCTGGGTGGAGCTCGGTCGTACCTTTGCTGAATCGGTACAGTTTCTGATCGGCACAAGGCGTGGTGCCACTCTCGCCACCACAAAACACATACAGGTTGGCGTCATCTGCGGCATCACATGCCCAAAACCACGTCCATGAGAAGAGTGGAAAAGCACAGCTCTGGCCTGGTCACTCAGGATGGTGAGGTTGAGGCCGTCTCACCTTCGGCCCAGCTGTGGCAGGTACGAGGGGATGGGCTTGTGCCCGTGGCTTTGAGCAAAGTCCAGGTCCGCTTGGCTTCGCAGAGGTCACCCAGTAACGTGAGGACGGGAAAGAAAGGGCTCTTGAGAACACGTGGACGGATGCGTGCAAGAGGCCAGGGCTCGTCCAACGACTTACAGCGGTCGTAGTAGCGCAGATCGGCCAGTGCCTGGTCCACGCCCGCGCCCAACAAGACGACAAGCTCCTGCAAAGCGGTGTCATAGTAGCTTGCGTGGTCGTAGCGCCCGACGGTCGGATTGGGATCATTGGGGCGAACGGCCTCCCAGGCTAGCGTGTCTGAAGAGTCAATTGGACAGACCCACGGCAAAGGCGCGCGCATGAGCGTGCTTCCTCAAGGTCAGGGGCCGCATGTGCGTGATCCAGCTCACCGAGGCGAAGGCCCACGACGTCGTCAAACATCCCATCCGGTGTTGCACCGCCGGCAAACAAAAGGCGACCGGGGCCACGCGGGTCAAGCACGACCGAGTTGCCCAAGCGCGGCCCGACGCTGCGCGCATGTTGCCCAGCGTCGGATGGCACGACGTACCTGAGCTCAGCGAGGTCAGCAAACACTCGGTGAGCATTGAGACGTTCGAGGGGGCGGGTAAACTTGAATCAGTGTCTTACCAAAGGCGAGTCTTGAGCTCATCATTCGAGCTGACATATGGGTGCAGTGTCCAGCCAGCTGCTGCCGTGGCCTCGGCTGCTGCTGCTGCCGCCGTCGCCATCAAACCGATTGAGCGCGCGCTGTGTGTGTGTGTGTGTGTGTGTGTGTGTGTGTGTGTGTGTGTGTGTCGTTAACCGTCAAAATTATTCAAACTCAACACTACCCCTCTATAATTAAGCACCCAATACTACCTCTCCATAATTGAAAAGTTTAGCTTTGGGAAAATCGAAAACTGAAAATGCCTGCGGGCATGCAAACTGTCCGCGTCGCGCCGTTCCGGACGAGAACCAGAGAGACAAGGTTCTTAAGCTCCTCGCTGGTTGGATCGGCTTTTGGTGACTTGCCTTTCGCCTTGACCTCTCTCATGTGTACCCTTGGTGTTGCTTTTGCTCGTGCTGGTATGCCTTCTTGCTCTTTCATCCTGCCTCTCCTTGGCGTGCTCTGTCTTTACCTGTGTGTGTACCGCGCCCTAGTCAGTGTTGCTGGTTGATGGAGGTCCCACCGTCCTGACGGCACTTGATTTGGGCCCCTCGATCGTTCTGCCCTGCTTTTCTCGCTTCTTCATGTGCGTTGGCCGGTGGGCCTTGTGTTTCTCGCGCAAGCACCCCGTATAATACGCGGCTACCAATGATTGCCTTGCCTGCTTTGACAGCTCACTTGTGCTTGATGGTTGTCCGTGGATGCCGGATACCAAATTGCGCCTTCTCCCTTGAATTAGACAACAGCCTCCCTGCTAGACAAGACCGCCTTCCTACCCGTGCGCCGGCTGACGCTCGGCCTTGTGTGTTGCTGCTGCTGCCGCCGCTGTCCGCACAATGAACGGCGATGCCGCCGTGTCGGCTTTGGGCCGCCACGGCAGCCATCTGTCCATGTCTTCCCTTCCGCTGCGAAAAATGAGTGGCATCTCAGGCAACTCTGGTCCAGGCTCCTTGGCCAGTCAGCCGTCGACAGTTGAGGGGCCGACCATGTCTGTGCCTTGCTCGCAGGGCCTTCAGGTTTGTTTCGGCTTTGCCCGCTTTGTCTCCGGCCCATGCAAGAGTACAGGCCGGGCCATTCGCCCGTTTGCACTCACACAAGCTCCTTCCTGTCCTTCTCTGGGACGGATCAATCAGATGCTGTACTCCAACATGCTGGAGCATCAGAGCACCGCCCTTCTTACGGAATATTCCAAGCAGCAAGCCAGCGGCCTGCCCATGGAGCTTCGCATGGAGTTTACCTTGATCAATATGGTCAGTGCTCAATTCTGTTGCCGATTTTTAGTAACGGGCACAGCCCTCACCGACCTCTTTCAATCTTCTTATCCGTGTAGGAGCGTGCCGGAGCTGCCTCCAAGCCAGCCAAGGCAACTTCAACCAACGCGACGCTCCTGCAGGAACAAGTCAGCACATTCTCCTTTGACCCGCCAACGCCTGTACAGTAGGGGCGCTCGTTCTTGCCTCAAACCTGCCTTGACTTGTCCGATGCCTCGCATAGATGAAGCGCATCGAGGACACCCACCGTCATGAAGTGACCATCCTTGAGGATCTGCAAGTGCGTACAGATACCTTCTCACCACGTCGGGCTTGGCTGTTCATGTAGCGACGGGTCCAAGCTTATGAGTGGTTGGTGCATGCGACAGGACTTTCTGCGTCAAAAATCCACCCTCGACCAGATGCACGCCCAAGGCATCAAAAAGCTGGTAAACCAGGTTCGTTGTCATAACCCCCTTGATAGCCTTGTTCTCTCTTGATTGTCCTCGTCCTCCTTTTACATTCGTACGGCTGGTTGAACCCAAACGACATCGATACGCAGCAATTTGCCAAGCGCAAGTGGCACGATTCACTGTATCAAAAAGACCACGAGAACATGTGCGTCTTCATGCTCTCTGTCTGTCGAATGCGTTCCATCAGCTTTCTTTTCGTCTTCCTCACCCTCACCCCTACTCACTACGACAGCCTCCTGGAGGATCTGTATCGCGAAACGCTCAAGGCCCACGCCACAGACGCCGAGATGATTGCAATCGCGGCCGAAGAACTCTCCACACTCATCAATACCAATATGGAGAAGCGCATTGAGGAAAAGCGCCAGCTCTTCAAAACAGGCTTTCGGGTTCTAACCGCTCTGCAAGAAGAGCTCTACTGCATGGACGAAGCCGTCTTGACCGTACGTTCCGCCGACTAGACTCAGCATCAGAGCTCCCTCCGATCCCTGCTGTTGCCTGTACTAATGGCTCTGGACGCCACGTGTCCCGCCCGGCCTTGCCCCCACTTGCCCTTCTCTGTCCTGTCGCGTCCTGTCGACTCTACTCCAGGCCCGCAAAACTTACGAGGCAAGCATCAAGGAGTATCAAACCCTCTGCAAAAAAAAAGGTAGGGTCCTCGGCTGACCCCATCATTTCAGGGTGAAAACTTCAGATACCTCGCCTTTCTAATATCATGTCTGTCTCGTTCTCTCGGGTTTTATCGGGTCGGGGGGCCATGGTGTGCGTGCATAGCCAAGAAAAAGGTGGCGGACAAAGAAGCCAGTAAACTGCGCTCGCTGGAGAGCAAGGCGAAGTTGGCCCGGTACGAGTACCTGCTCGAGCTAGCCGCGGCCAACGAGGCCTATCGCGTCTTTCGGGATGAGCAATTTCCAGAGGTGGCGGACACTTTGGCCACAAAGACACTTGAGTGGCTGCAGACCTTTATCAAGTCATGCTGCAACATCTTGGCTCAGCCCGCCGAACAGGCGCTCGATCTGAAGATTGAGCAACAGCATCGTGCCGACCTTCTCTCGGCCGAGTTTGAGCGAAGAACCTTTTTGCACCGCTGCCGTCGCGAATTTCCTGGCCGCCAGCTCTTTGAGGTCAACCTGGTGCCGGGCGACGAGGAGCGTGTCATTCGCGTTGATACTCAGGCCACCAAACTGACCTTGGGTCAGCTGCGCAATCTTCTGCAACACACGGTGGATAACAAACGCGCCGAGTTGGCCACGAAGGAGGAGCAAATCGAATCCCTCTTGAGTCTGTACTACCACTACACCAAGGCCGGGGCCGTGCTGGACAAGGGTGAGAACCAGGCTCGTACGATGCGGCAAAAGATGGAAAAGATATACTCGGAAATAGAGGTGATTGGTCGGCAGCAAGCCCAGATCAAGGCCAAGATTGACTACATCACCGAAACGGGCGTGGATGGCTTCCAAGATGACTCTGCAAGTGACAGCCAGTCCGTCGCGACCACGGCTGTCATTGACATTACCGAGGCACAGGAGCGGGAAGCTGAACGCCGGCGGCGCCAGGTGGCAGGCGATTCATCTGACTCGCTTCTAGCGGCCCGCCGACAAGCTCAACAAGCCGCCGATAATTTTGCCCGCACCGTGGGTGAAGGCGGCGACAACCTATCGCAATGGGGCGGTGCGTCTGAAGCTGAAAGCACGCCCAAACCCCGCAAGTCCCTGGGCCTCTTCCGTCGTCGCCGCCAGACCCAAGAGGTGCAGCTTGGAAGGGGCATGCCGGACGGCATTCTTCTGGACGACAGTGTACAGGAGGATGATGAGCTCCCACCGCCACCACCCATGACCTTTCCCAAAAGTGTGTCCCAAAGCAACCTCAACATGGCTCCCGAGCCCGGTCACATGGCAGCCATGATGCAGGCCGCTACACATCCCGTTCCTGCTGCGCCCTCGCCTTTGGCCATGGCCGGGAGTGCAGCTGCCCCACCACCGCCGCCACCTGCACCCGCACCATCGCTACAAGAGATGCAAAGTCACCACCGAGTCAGTCAAACTGTCACGTCTTCTGCCGCCGCAGAAGTGCATTCGTTGTCGCCAGGTGGCATAGATGACCACGTGGATCCCATGGCTACCTTTGCAATTCCTCCACCCCCAAATGGCTTTGCCAGCGCTCCTGTCACGCCGTCGCCTTCAGGGCCCTCTCCCGAAGTGGCGATGGAGGCCGAGGTGGAGCCAAGCTCAGAAGAGGAGGAAGAGGAGGAGCCTGCGCCCAACAGCTTGGCCGCCCAGCTCCGCAAGCGCTCTAAGGCATTGAACCACTCTCCCAAGCCCGTGATTTCGACCATCGTGCCCACCGGCTCGGTTGTTTCTTCGGGCGACGCGAGCACACCCGTCTCTGCCGCACCAGCACCAGCACCGGCGGCACCGACACCGGCAGCGCCCATACCTACCGGCAACTCACTGATGGACCAGCTTCGGGCCCGTCAGCAGGCCATGAAGCCCGTAGCAGCGGCGCCACCTCCCGCTCCAATGCCTACTTTGGCTTCACAGCCTACACCCACGTTGGCGCCAGCGCCTGCTGCCACCACCAAGGCAGCTCCAGCCCCGCCGACGACAGCCTCGGCTGCAGTGCCGGCAGTCGCCCCAAAGTCACCCAAGCCAGCCCCGCCCCCACCGACGGCAGCCAAGCCGTCGCTTCGTCCAGCCGTGCCTCCGCCGCCACCTGCGGCCCGAGCTCCCGCCCCAGCTTTGGCACCACCACAGCCTATGCCAGAAGCCTTGTTGCTTCCCATGTGCCGGGCTCTGTATCCCTACTCCCCGATGCAACCCGATGACCTGGCTCTGACGGAGCGGGAGATGCTGTATTTCCTGGTTGAGCGCGACGACGGTTGGGCCAACGGCATGAACCTGCACGGGCAAGTTGGCTTTTTCCCCTCCAGCTACGTGGAACACATGGATACCCGCGACATATCGAGCTGGACGCCAGCGCGGGTCTGCACGATCAGCCTTGCGGTTGGCGATCAACTGGGTCTGAGCCTTGGGGCGGGCCGTCCTGTGCAGATTGACATGGTGATCCCTGGCTCCCCCGCTGCGCGGGCACAGCTTAGGGCTGGCGACATGATCTTGGAGATTAACAAGAGACCATGCGCCATGAAGTCTGTGGTGGACATTACGGTGAGTTTTGATTGAAAATGTAACAACCTGAATGGCCGCACATGTCTGCCAGCCTTTGTGGCCGCGCCTCTGTAGTCTGCAGTTATGAGTCATTGCGATATTTAAGCGTCTGATTCTTGATGTGCTTGTTGACCGTTGTTTGTGGCTTAATGCGCAGGGCCTCTTGACTGACCCCGGGCAAGACGTTGGTGGTGTGCGATCGGTGACCTTGACGGTGATCAATCGCAACGATGTAATAAGCGATGCGCAGCGCCTCAATGCACTCAGGTACGCGTTTTCTCCTTTGGATGAACCCGGCGGGATGGTCGCACAAACGCCATCTCATGGACTGTGCCTTTTTGCTGAAAACGATTCTCGCTCCGGTTGATTGATTTAGCAAGCAACCCTCCAACCATTCCCTCGTGTAGATGAAGAAAACTTTGAAAGGACGTTGCAGCGACCCATGGTGGTGCGCAACGCCTACCTCGCCTGTGTTGTCTTTGATCGATTTGTCCAGGGTCTTGTGTGTGCTTTGCCTTTTTTTTTTTTTAAATCACCCTATCAATCCAACATTCATTTACTTTGAACAGCTGATCACGAGACACAACGCATGACCATGTCTTTCACGAGTCGAAGAAGAGGTTGCCCATTGACTGTGTATGATAACAGAATCAGTCGAGCGGGAGAGAAGGTGCTTGTGCGGAAGCACATTCGAGCCAGCGAGATCAAACAGGGCATTAATTAAGGGGTAAAGTGAAACAACGCTGGGATTGACCGGTTGATACAAGGCGGAGCCTGCGCCCTTTCGGCACAAGATGAAGAATATGAAGAAAACTCAAGACAAGACAATGGCAGTCACAAGATGCGCGGGGGTGGCCAGGCTGGAGGAGTCGCAGGTGGTGGGATGCCAGGGTGCGCGCTCGGGACTCGGGGTCGCGAGCAGATGTGCTGTTATTCAGCTGTGCGCAGTGTCGAGTCGCCCATTGCACAACCAGGGATGGCGGGGGCTACTCGTCACGGGGGGCAGCAAGTTTGAGCTCTGTCATGACGGCTGAGTGCGCATGGCGCTGGTCCATGGTGGGCCGTGCGGCTTCGCCTTGATCTTCTTCTTCTTCTTCTGGCAGACCTTCTTCCGTCCGTCGCGCTCGGATGTCAGCCAGCACGCGGTTGTGTGCTTGAGAGACGGCTTCTTCGGTGACAAAAGCACTTTCGCGTCGCTGCGAGACTGGGCCTGAATCAGAGTCGGAATCTGCGCCCGCATCGACATCATCATCGTTCTATAAACATAAAGACGAGACAAAAAGGTGTGATCATACGGCGTGAGGAGGTTCATGAGGGTGGCGGCCAGGATATTCACTCATGCAAATGGTTGCCCCTCTTCTCTTTCCTCCCCAGGAACGCTGCGGGCACAGGTAGCCACGGTCACGGCACACGGGTTCAGACGTACAAAGAGCGCTGTGTCCAAATCCAAAGAGTCGGTGCTCTTGGCCCTCGGAGGGAGCTTGGCTTTTGCGACATTGGAGATGTGTTGCTGAGCCTTGGGCTCCATGGAAAACCCCCGGGTCCAGGCCGAGGCACATCCTCCGAGGGCAGTGCCCGAGTAGCCGAGCTCGGTGTGCTTGCCGGTCAGCGAGCGATCCTTGGTCTCAATGACGAGCTCATCATCCACTTCTGCCGAGGCCGGGATCTTGAGCTCAGGGCGATCCTTTTTCTTGCTTCGCAGGGAGCGACCAATTGACTTGAGCATGGCGGCGGTGACGCTTGCGTGCGTGTCTCGGTGCGTGTGTGCAGGCGTCAATCTCGTATGGGACCTGCTTCAGAGAGAGAGGAGAGAGAAAGCGAGAGAGACGGAGAGCAAAAGGCAGCCCAAGGCTCGAGAATGGGCCTGCACGACAAAAATGACACAACCGAACACTGGGATCGGACTCTTGCCCAGTCGTGCGCTTAAGATGCCCCAACAGCTGCTCAACCCCTATGTCGGCTTCCAAGGCTGCACCCCACCAATAGAGAAGACGTAATTTGCTTGCTTGCTTGCTTGAACTCTTTTGCTCTGTCTCTGTCTCTGTCTCTGTCTCTGTCTCTGTCTCTGTCTCTGTCTGTGACTGTGTCTCTGTCTGTGACTGTGTCTCTGTCTGTGACTGTGTCTCTGTCTGTCTCTCTCTCTCTTAAGACCGTGCTTGGTATTTGAGGTATCGAGCTAGCGGAGCCATATCATGACCGCTCAATCGTGCCGAGCGCGCCAGCGCTCCTTTTCAGCGCTTAATACCCTCCGCGCGTTGCACACCAAGCGCGGACACAAACCTTGACCGGTGCCCTTCTTATCCTGCCTTGAAGTGTGCGCTTTGCAAGGCGCACGGCTAGATGACCTGCTCGCTCGCGTGTCCGCGCGAGTGGCTCGCGTCGCCTCTTGGACATTCCACACTATACATCCAACACCATTTGCAGCTTGCGACTACATGTACAACGCCCCCACCTCCCTCCACCTGCCTCTCCACTTCCCTGCACACCCAAAAGCCCTTGATCGCTGCTTGCTCTGTCTGCCTTGGAAGAAGCCTTGGTTAATTGAGATCGACACAGCGCGTGCGTGCAACCACCTCCGCCCCCACATCGATACTTCAGTTGTCGTAGCACAAGCCCACCTGATAGTTTCCTGCCTCCCTCTGTTTGTGGATCTCGGGCAGGTCGTGCCCAAAAGCTTTGCCCTTTGCTCCTCGTGCCCTCGCTTCGGTTACCTCGGAAGCCGTGTACCCCCTCCCCTCTCAGACCTGCATACCACGGCAGGCTGTGAGTCCCACCGAGCATTTGGCTTCTACAGAGCCGTCCTGCACTGCTGAATCAGATGTCCTTGGACCCTGACCGACACCAAAGTGTAATCAAACATCCTGCGCTATTCACACGAGGCAGTGGCAGTGCCGGCGTCGCCCTTTCTTCGTTCTGCCAACAACAGCTTGTGGAACCAGAAGAACGGCAGTCCAGCCGTCGCCACCTCCATTGACCCCTGACTTCATCTCCCAAATCAGTCAGCCCCCAGTTGTTGTTGGCCTGAGCGGCTTGGCCGTTGCGCTTGGGCCACACTTTCTCAAGCCGCGCGATTCGAGACACCCGTAAATGTCCGGTATCGGTACCATGTTCAAATCCAACAAGAGCCAGCGTCGGCCCTCGGGCAACGCCGGACCAGCCTTTGCAAAGGGTAAGAACCATGGTGTACCAAGCTCCGACAGTGCCCCACCCTGACCACCATCCTCCGCGCCCTGCCACATCTTACAACCCCACCTCTTGTTTCTCGACCTCATAGTGGATGCCGCCGGCATGACCGCCACTATGCTTGCCGGCAACTCGGCTGCTTGGACCAAGTCGTTTGAATTTGATCACTTTGGCGACAAGGTCAGACTCGGGAGCCCATTCTTTGCCCTTTCCGCCCGCCCAGTAGAGCCCGCACGCACGCTCATGTATACTTGGTCGCCTGTAGAAAAAAGTCTCGCGAGGTGATTCAGCGGACGACTTGCTCTCCAACGTAAACCAGGATCTGCTCAATCCGACCATCGACGAAGAAGCCTGGAGTGCGCCCTGGTACCTTGCCAAGATGACCAACACTGCCGTTATGAAGACGCTGCAGCATCAGCCCGATGGCGCCTTTATCATTCGCGACTCGCCAGCCACGGCCGGCTCCTTCGCCTTGGCTTATCGGCATCAAAACGAAACCCACCACGCGCTCATTCACAACACGGCCCAAGGTTTGGTACTGGGCAAATCGGAAGAGCCCCTTTCCTGTCTCTCCGAGCTTGTTCTTCGATTCAGTCAGCACTACGATGTTCAAAGTGATGGCCCGCACCTCTCCTGTCCCTTGGATCCAGCTGTTTTGGCCCCGACCGAAAATGAAGCCCCGGCCAATCTCTTGTCGACAGAGCACAACCTGCCCAACGCTGAAGAGGATGTCTCTGCACTTCTGACCCGCGCAGATGAGAGCGGCAATCTCATCAATCTCAGCGCCACCACGGGGGCCCAAGTGGCCATGAGCGGCCCCGTTGTGCCCTCCCGCCGCTCCAAGCCGTCGCGTGGCGTGTCTTCAGGCACCAACGATGGTCTTGTTGCTTCAGCGGGCGTATCGCCCAGCATGCGGGGCGTGCGTCACTGCCCACACTGCAACGCAAAGCAAAGCGCCAAACAGAACATGTGCTCTGCCTGTTCGCGGCCCATGGACGGAGAAGAAGTTCCGCCTCCAGCGCCTGTCACCGCCGCTCCCACCGGCCCAACCCGAGGGGCTGTCGTGATTGTCACCGATGAAGACGAAGAGGACAAGAGCAAGAACGATGAGATTCACGATGGATACGCTCCCATGACGACCCCAGTTAGCTTTTTGAACAAGAGCAAGCGCAAGAGCAAGCGCAATCAGGATATCCAGGTCATCGTGGCCCCACCCACCATGGCTCTTCGAGGTATCCTGAACGATGGCTCGCGCCTAAGCTCCAACCACCACGTGACCTTTTCCGAAGAAAACATTGCCGGGACGCTCAAAGAATCGCTTTTTGCTCGTGGCATCTACTGTCGCTTGGATGATCTCTCCTTCCATGCCGGCTACTACTATAGCGAAAATATCGAGCGCCCGGAACGGGCCACCAACAAGCTGCAAGGCTGCGCTGAGGGTGCTTTTGTCGTGTACGATGACCAAAAGTCGGAAAACCATCTCCTGCTCACCTATGTGGCACCCTCGGGTCAGCCCGCGCACGCGAGTATCGAACACGACGAGGCAGGGGCCTGGCTACAGCTTCAAGACGTGGCCACCACGCTTGTGCCACGCTTTCACTATGTCAGCGAGCTGGTTCGCCATTATTGCTCTTCCAACTCGGACCCGCCCGAGCTCCTGTCACTCTCGCAGGAGCAGGAAGAGGTGAGTATTTTTGACCCACTATCGCGTTCCCACCCATTCAGGCACGCTGTCCGAGCCGCTATGTCTACGCTCTCTCATCTCTGACCACCATGGCTGTGCGTGTTCCACCACCAGATTTTCCAAGCCTTCCTCAACGGCGAGGGAGCCGATTTCAACGCCGAACTGCAGCACAAGGCTGAGGCCGTGCTACCCAGCAAGCCTCAAAAGGGTCACCAAGGCCCATACATGGATCTCAAGGCGCTCAAGACTTTGCGCGATGGACAAGCCGTTGCAGCTGCCGAAGCGGAACGTGCGGCCGCCGAGGAAGCTGCAGCCTTGGCCCAGGCCGAGGCAAGTGCGGACAAGAATGAGGAGGACGAGAGGCGAAGCGGGGGCAAAAGTCCAGAGTCACCGCCGAGTGAGGCCACGCCTCCGTGGTACAAGCCCGAAATGTCGCGCGCCGAAGCAGTGGCGCTCATTGAATTTGAGCCCACCGGTAGCTTTGTGGTTCGTGACAATATGGACGAGCCCGGGCGCCACATCGTGACCTACGTCCTGAATGGTGCTCTGCACCATCACGAGATTGAGCGTCTACCAGACAACGGGGGCTACTGCCTGACTGAGCTGCGCAACTTTGCGCGTCCTACTTTGCGGGAGCTGATTGAGTTTTACGGCTCGAGCGAAGGCCATGATCTCCAACATTTGGAAGCACGGCTGCGTCTGCCACGCCAAGGCGATCAAGCCCGGGCCAACGCCTCATTCCGAGGCCTTCAAGATCCATCAACCCTGACGGAGAAGCCGGCATGGTTGCAAACCAACATGCCCAAGGCGGCGGCTCTCCAAGTCATTGCGGGCAAGCCCGATGGCGCCTTTGTCGTTCGCAGCAGCGAATCGCGCACTGATTGCTACGTACTCAGCTACATGTTCCGAGGCCAGGTTCATCATGAGCTCGTTCGCATGGTTGGCGATGATCAGAAGGTGTTTTTCCTGAACAACGCCCCCCATCACACCTTCCAATCGCTGCAAAACCTGATTGAGTTCTTTGAGGCACCGCGTCGCGAGCTCAAGCATCCGTTGCATCCAGGCCTAGTCAGCCAGCAGGAAAGCATGATGCGTCGAGGGCCAAGCCGCCGCTCCATGCAGCATTCAGCCTCGCAGCGAAGCTCTACTCGCGTGCCACCGCATGGACCGCCGCGTAGCGGTGCCGTGCCACCCATGCTCCGCAAGGGCTCGTCTCGTGCCCTACTGGACCCCAATGCCGCCGTTCCGGCAGCCGCTCGCTCTGCCAGCCGACGTCGCTCCCATCATCGCCACTTGGCCGGTGAAAGCGTGGGCAACCGCTTGGACCAACGTGCCGCGACCTCCAATTGGTGCTGCCTCAATTTGAGCCGCGAGGAAGCTTTGGCGCGTTTGCCCCACAAGGAGGGCGCTTTCATCGTGCGCAAGAGCAACGATAATTTTGCGACTCTGACCATGGTCGCCAACGGCAAGCATTTCCACGTTCAAGTTCACGACTCAACGTTGGGTCTGCACCTGAAAAAGTCGACGGCCTACCAACCGAATCTCTCTGCCCTGGTCGCGTTCTACATGATTGCCGGCCAAACCGACCTACCTCGGCCGCTTGTGTCTTGGTAGTGTGGAAAAGGTGCTGTCAACTCAACAACCATGCTCATTGGCGTTTCTGGCTTTCTTTGGCGGTGGCACTGCGCTGCCTTGGAATGGTTGGAAAGCGAGTGCTTTCCTGGTGATGCCTCCTTTGTCGTTCCCATTAATACCCCACGTCCGTTTTGCCTTGTCCTACCCCTGTTGTATATCCTGTGAGCTCTTTATCATCTTATCCCCATAAACTGCTGCTGATTGCCCCTCTCCTCCCCTTGTGCGGGCGGGAGAGGATAATTGTGAATGAATCTTGGCTCCTGAATCTATGTTCTTGTGGACATGTGGCACCCCCATCTGTGTCTCTACTCGGATATGCCTGAGCGTCTACCACACCAGCCCTTGAATTGATTATTGATTGATAGTACATGTACTACATCCATCAGCTCAGCTCAGATCAGCTCAGATCAGCTCAGATCAGCTCAGATCAGATCAGCTCCCCCACACACACACGCACACACATAAAAAAATTAATTTTCTCTGTACAGTACCTATCTCTCTCTCTCACTCTCTCTCTTATTTTTTTTCCTTGTGTGCTGTTGCTTGTATGGTGGCAGATTCAGATGCAGCAATAATGTCGACGGCGACAGGGACACTGGCAACCAGAGCTGGGGCCAGGGCCAGGGCCAGTCGTGGTCATGAAGTACAAGAGTCTTATCACTATTTTCCTGGCTTTGTGTCTGATTCAGAGGGGCGACGCTTGCTAGAGGTTGGTGTCTGTGCTTGATTTCACTGGTCGTTCAAGCTCGTGCTCACCTCGGCTCCGGCAGGCCGTTTATGCAGCACCCAAGCCCAAATGGACAACCTTGGCACATCGTCGTCTCCAGATTTGGGGTGGTCATCCCAGCCCTAAAGGTACATAGGCCCTGCCGTTGTGCTTGGCATGCCGGAGCCCCCCGGCCCACTCGCTACGTTCTCGCCCCGCAATCACCCATGCATCCTCATCGGTATTGGTGCAGGCATGATACCAGAGCCGCTCCCAAGTTGGCTCCAAGACATCGTTGCTCGAGTGAGCGCAGTCTCGGTGCGCGTCACTGAGGAGAGTCAGACAGAGCCATACCTTTTCGGAGCACAGCCAGCAAATCACGTCCTGATCAACGAGTACGAGCCGGGCCAGGGCATTATGCCCCACGAGGACGGACCCCTTTACCACCCTATAATCGCCACCGTGTCGCTGGGCGGTCACACCGTGCTGCGCTTCTCCCCCAAAACCCAACATCCCCGGCCCGCAACCGAAGCAGGAGCTGACGATGATGGGGCTCCGCCCGATCCTGTTGACCCTTTGTGCCCGGCCCAGACACCGTTCGAGCCTTTTGGGCTACTGCTGGAACCCAACAGCCTCGTTCTGGTGCACGGGCTGCTTTACCAGCACTTGCATTGCATTGAAGAGCTCACCACAGACACGCTCGACGCCAGCATTATCAACGCATCGCAGCTTCAACAGCCCTTTGTGCCGGGTGAGCAGCGCGTCCGCGAGACGCGAGTTTCGCTCACCATTCGCCGAGTGCCCAAGGTAGCCAAGCTCAATATTAACCGCCTCCTGGGGAAGCAAAGGTAGCCAGGCTACAAAAGCAAGCAAGAGGCTCCAACTGAAATCGAATCCACTACCACTGTCAACTATGATTCAATTAGCAACTCGAGCAACCACCAATACAACAGCCAGAGCAGCACGTGACGCCGGTCCTTCCTGGAACCTCGTGCACCCTGTCTGCACCCCGCCGCTTGTTGACGCAAAAGATCCCTGCGCGACTAGTAGCCTGTCACAAAATGCTCCGAACCCTGCCACACCAACCCCAACGGCCAAGATTTGATGCCCGGTGCACGCGAGATCGTAGATGAGTCGTGTTGTGGTCATTGGAAGCAAAACCGGACAGCACGACAAAAGACCAAAACCGACCTTGCTAATGGAGCTATATTGGTCAATCTGCGCGCGAATTCGCTGTGCTACAGCCGTCACCACGGCTAGTGGTGTGCTGTGTGAGACATCCTCGCGAATCTGACTGGCCAGACACGCTTGAATGGCCTCGTCTGGGCCCATGCGCAAAACCCAACGCGTGAGTTGAATTGGGTGAACAGAGACAATAGTATGAGAAAATAGTATAAGCATGCACTCCACCCGCAAGAGTACCAACCCGTGTCGGCGCCGTCATCGGGAATGAAGAAGCGCTCGAAAAATTGTGCCTCTGTCAAATCGCCCGGGATGACCATTGCCTTGTAGTCGGAATGCTACACAGAACGCGAATCATGAGGATTGGAACAGGCGAGTCCAAGGCAAAAGCATGGAGCGTCGAGAATACATACGTGATCTAGCGTTATTTTTAAAATCGCGGCCGCATGCAGACGCGGTCCATAGTTTAGGCACATGGTCAGGGCCATGCTAGCACGATGGAATGGGTCCACATGAGCGCGGGTCAAGCAACCTCTCCTGCGTCAAAGCAGGCACGGCCGACAAACCTGGTGTTGCACGTGCGCCAACACCGATACATGATGCCCTTGCGCCCCTCGATGTCTGATGCCAAACGAGAAAGAAGAGTAAAAATATCATTAACAAAGGCTTGTTCGTACGAGCATCGGTTGAGGCATGACACAGTGCCGAGGGGACCGCGTGGACATCGACATGGAAATGGCAAAGGAGCTACCTTTGGTGTAGAGAAAGGCGAAGAGCGTTTGTGGCGGCATGATCTCAAACTCAAACATGACCGAGGCGGCAAAGACGCGCTCGCAGACCATGCATGCACAGAGGAACTCGTCTTCTGCCCCGAGTTTGTTGAGGCGAAACACATCCTTGGGTAGCTCTGAGTTGCGACCTTCGGTAATGAGCTGGCAGAGGAAACCCAAATGCAGGCGGGCGTGAGTTGGAAAACGAGCGTAGGCCCTATCAATGAATTCTCTTTCCAACGTGTTTTAAGTTGCGCCTGGCTCGCTCGAGGCACACCTTGGAAGCGGCGGCGACGCGGGTAAAAGGAAACCCGTGGTGTAGTTGAATCGGGCCCGTCGGGAAGTGGTGAGACTTGAACGCAAGCGACAACGCTGCTACAGCAGAGTGCTGAGCAAGTCATCGTTGCCCAGCCAATGACCCAACGATCATCCAAGTGCAGGGGGGGGATTTTCATTCACAGGTTTAAAAAAAAAATAAGAAGTACCAAACCGTGAGCGCATACAAGTATGAACAGTGGTGGGCATCTCGAGTCGGAGCGCGTACCGCGATGGGAAACTGAGTCAAAGACTGTGCCATGAGAGCACGATGAAGAATAATGGCAGCTCGTGCAGCGCAGAGACCCGGTCTGTTGAAACGAGATGTCATCCATCAATAGCAAGTGAGCATTTGAAGAGAGCTCACGGCTTGATCAGGACACACGCTCAAGTCATCGGGGACAATGGGCTCACATTCTGAACAAGCCAGCGAGCTGATAGATGTGCGCCACGCATTTCCAGCGTAGCACCTTTTCCTCTACGGAGGAAGCGTAACAGGAAGAGGCAGATGGTTACCGGACCGATGACCCACGGCTTTGCACTCGAGAGGTGAACACTTTGTCAAGGTGAGCAGCCAGCAACCAAGGAGAGCAGCCAGCAACCCGCTGCAATACGAACCGGGCCACGAGATGCCATTTCGCACTGAAGCCGTTTGTTGCACCTCTTCATCCGTGAAGAGCCATACTGATTCGTCTGCCATGGCCGCGGGGCTGTAGACGCGCAAGGTGCTCGCGTGTTTGTTGCTCGTCGTTTCAAGCAAAGTATCAGCCCCACGCGTAGCGCACCTTACGCCGTGACGTCGTCCCGACAAACTGTGACAACAAGGTCAATTACACCTTGCCTCGGTTCCCCAGTGGCCAATACAGCCCCCGAAGACGCGCTTGCAACAAAAATTAAAATGCCGCTGCCAATGGAAAAAAAAAGAGAAAAAAAAAAAAAAAAAAGAGAGAGAGAGGAAATGTGAGAGACGAAATCACAAATCACACACACAATAAAAAAAAAATTTTTTTCGATGTCTCTCGTTCTGAGTGCCTCTCTCTCCGTGGAAGGGTGAGAGTGAGTGAGTGAGTGAGTGAGTGAGTGAGTGAGAGTGAGTGAGTGAGAGTGTGTGTGTGATCGATCATTCAGGGGTTTCCTGTTTCCTTTCTTTGGGGGGCGGGGGGGGGGGGTGGGTAGATCTGGTGAAGAACACGGGGCGGGTAGCTAATTGCCCATTCAACTGGAGAAAATAGAGGTTTGAACGCACGTCGCAAAGATGCACACAGGACAATAACAAGGAGAATAAGAGAGAAAGGTGACAGCACGCTCTACATTCGGGAGCCACAGCCAGTGGCCGCGAGGAAGACAATAATAGGCTTCCTATCAGCAAGAGGGATCATGCGGGGAGGAGGCAAGGGGAAAAGGATCAAAAGCTAAAGAGTCGGCTTGTTCTAGCTGCCGCCGTTTCATGATGCTCAGACTGCGGCTTTAGGCAATGGGAGTGGGAGCCGGCAAAGGGGTGGAGACGGCCGTGTCGTCTTGAGATTGGCCAAACAGCTCATGGTTGGTCACATACATGTACACGACCCCCGCCACAGCTGCCGCCATTGCACTGCCATACAACGCATATGTTTTCCACACGCTCTTGCTCTTGCCAGTGGTGCCTTCCGTCGCAGGGTTCTGGGTAGCGCTTGACACCAGTGCCAAGACCTCATCATAGCCATTGGGATCGTACTTGACTGACAACTAAGGACGCATGCCCACGCATCAGCCAGGGTCATTGATAAATCCTGGACATCGATAAATATGCGACAACATCACGTCAAAGCGCTTACCGTCAAGCGGTCACCGCTGCTGGAAATCATTTTGGTAATGTCCTCAAAGCTGGATTCCGTCACGTCTGAGCCGTTGACGCTGATGATCTATCAGAAATGCAAAAGGCAAAGGCAATTGAGGGGACGGTACTTTTTGTGCTGCGAGATCATGCAGAGCCAGCATCGTTTCCCGGCACACGGCCAACACGGCGAGCCTTGCATACCTGCATGCCTGCCCGAAGCTTGGCCTGGTATGCTGGACTGTTGGGTTGCACAGATTTGATAAAAGTTCGGCCGTCTGGTGAGAGGAGATCAAAGCCAATGGCCTGCAAAACAAGAAGAATTGGTTCAAGGCAACAACCCTGTCAGACTACGCGTGGTCACATTTAGATGCGCGCAGGGGGCGGGAATGGGAAGTCAACCAGCACGCTCACCTCGCCGGCCTTGCGATTGATGGTGACAAAGTTGGGACGGAAAATCTTCTTCCCGCGCACGTGTGCAAAGGAGGCAGAGCGGCGAAAGTTGCTGGCCTTGACCTCGCGGTTGCGCTTGGGGGTGCCGTAAAGTACACCGTCCTTCTCGCCCCACTCGAGAAACTTGTCGGCATTGCGCATCTCATCAAAAGTATCGCGGGAGATGAAGTGGTAGTGCTTGCCATTTTGTTCGCCCTCGCGCGGAGCACGGGTGGTATAAGGAACGGTCAGGCCGTAAATGTCACGCTTGACGTCAATCTTGGCCTGGCGCAGATCCTCCGTGTCAGCCGCGCTCTCGTGCAGAAATTCGCTCAGCTTGACATAGCCTGGGCGGTTGTCCTGGCGCTGAATGGGCGGGAAGCAGGTGGTGGTCAGCTCGACGGGATCAGCCAACTTGGTGATCATGGCCTCCGCCTCTTCCACCGTGCAGCCGGCCACGGATACGCCGTTGACTGCCAAGATGCAGTCGCCGGGTTTGAGCCCGCGGTTGGTAGTGGAGATAATGTCCACGTGCTCAACTTCACGCACGCTAAGCAACACGCCAAATTCAATGCCTCCCTTGAAAGAGAAGCCCAGTCGGCCATCGCGCCGTGCCAGCACCACTGTTTGGATTTGAGCGTTGGCATCTGAAACGACTGACGTGTCAGGCTCGTCAACGGCGATGCGTGGTGTCTCGCGAGATGCGTTTGCGCCATTGCTTGGGGTTGTGCCCGCGACACCGTTGGCTGCAGCGCCTGGCGCAGACTTCTTTGTAGAATCAGCGTGCACACGGCCTTCCAGAACAGCTCGTCGCGATTCGCGATTGTCACGGCTGGCAAGGTCCTTGTTGGGCTTGACCGTCCCGTACCAAAAGCCATCATCGGCCTTGCTGCACTCGATGAAGCGGTTGGCAGAGCGAAGCTGATCAAACTCTTGATCACTCACAAAGTTGAACTCTCGCCCCTGCATCTCTGAAGGGTGCATGGGCCGCGTTGTGAAGCGCGCCGACATGTCATACAGCTTTTGCTTAACCTCGGCCTAATACAAGTGCAAGATCCGCACAACGTGAAATAACTTGTGCCAGCAATATCCAGCTCGCGAAAAAGAAAAAAGAAAAAAAAAAAAAAAAACAGAAAAAAAAGAAAAAAATTATCTGGTGGACGAACAACAAGAGCAAAGCTGATATGCTTAAAAGGGGGGTGGCATACCTGCAACTTGGCCGTTTGCGGATCAATGTTACTGCTCAAGGTCACCAGGTGACTGAACTTGGCCGAGTCTGAATCCTTTGGCGAGGAGACGACCAGACGCAGCTGGGGGCCGGCATTCTAAGATGGAGCACAAGGGCGCGATTGGCCAAGTTGCGATGAGCTTGCAACATCATGATGGACGAGCACTTGGGTTTGCAGTCTTGCGGGCGCTGAGTTGCAACATACGCGAATGAGATCGGTGACCATTTCATGTGTTTCGCCGATAATGTTCTTGCCGTTGGCCACGAAGATGAGGTCGCCATCCTTCAGTGAGCCGGATGTGCAGTTGATCTTGGACTTGCTCGGGATGTGGACATGGGAGATGACATCATTCTCAACACCGCCTAGCAGGCCAACGGCCGTCAGCACGCGCAAAGATGCTAAGCAAGAAAGCATGTGCGGGTCGCTCTGGTTTGGTACGCCAGTGGATCGCGGGGCGAGCTCATCCGTACCGCGCACTTCAAAGCCAAAAATGCCTTGGCTGTTCCGGGAGACGGTCACCTCACGCTGGGGATAATGCTACACAAGTGGTAGTTGAGGAAAGACACGTGAGTCAAAAGGTTCAGGGTGCATTGTCAACGAGCGGGCGGGGCGTGCCCGAGCTCGCAGGCGCAGGTGCAGGTGCATGTGCCACGTACACTCTTGGTCTTCTCCGCACGTCGGAAAAGACTGTTGCGCTTGGACATGGCCCTGGTACCGGGAGAACAAGGAAGCACCTGAGCGCCTCAAAAGTCTGCAACAGCTGCACGGAGAGGAGCGGGCGTGAGTGCACAGCATGGTGTAGAGGCTGTCTTGTTGGGTGTCAGCCAAACTCAGAAGCCGGCACGCAAGATCCTCGAATCCCAGACCCCCTCTGTCGGACAGAGGCGGGCCCCAGGAGCCATAAACACGAGCGATCCAAGGGGCACCGACCAACAACTGTGCCGGCAAGACCGGGATGAGGTCGAGATGAGAGCACTCACTTGCAACAACCAGAGCAAGCAGAAGAAGCTTAGAGGCCACTAAGAGGGCGGCAGACAAGCCGGCCGTAGCTATTAGGCCGAAATCTAGATTGTCTTGTCTACAAGAGACGGGGCTGGCGGCGTTGTGACGGAGATCTATCGCGACGTGGCACACGGAGCCATTAAGACCGAATCGTTGAGAATGAGCGTGGCTGTGCAGTGGCAGACGCATTGAAAGAGGAGGAACACCGGACACCGCCACCAGCACCACAACAAAGAAGGGGCCTTTCCACACGCATGCATGCAGAAGGAATCATGTCATCCTCGCCAGCGGGAGGACATTTGAACGCCGACGAGCAGAGCGAGCGGTGTAGCGCTCTGCAGGACTGCATGGACCAGCCAGTCACTGTGTGTGCCCATCCCTTGCATCTTCTCGTCTCAAAGGCCAGGGCTCCCGCCACAACATCTTTCCTCTCCGGGCGCTGATGATGCCCTCCATCTTCATGTCCATCCTTACGCCTTGCAACACCGGTTGCACTTTGCCACATGCGCGCCACCGGCTGCCGAATTGCACGCGAACACACACACGCACACACACACTTACGCGCACAGAAAAATTGAACGAGAGAGGCACACAAGCACTGACTCAGAGCCAGAGGCTGTCGATATTCGTTCACTTTATCTCAAGTTGAAACAAAGGTAAAAACAGAGATGAGGATCAAATTAGCAAAAGCTGTAGAGAAGTGGAGAAAGAGGGCTTAAGCCAAAAGTCCAAGCCGAGTGCATGTGCAAAAGACCAACGTGTCACACGATCAGCTTGACTTTGAGCAGCTTGATCTCGTCCATCCATTCAAGCCTCACCGATACCCTATTCGAGCCTCCACCCCTCGATCTTTATTCCAGCTACCATTCACCCCGCCCTGCCCATTACTCCGACCATCGCCGCTCGCCGCTCGCCGCCGCCGGTCATCGTCGCCGCCCGTCGCCATCAAACATTTGCAGCGGCAAGCCCATTCAAGTTACACTTGGTAGCGACGCATGGTGTGTCTGACATTTCCGTGTGTGTGTGTGTGTGTGTGTGTATCAGGCACGTGATGTTGGACGCGGTCATGGCTTTGGTTGCGCTGAGCCGGGTGTAGATGGACTTGCTTCCGTCTTGACTCATGGGGTGGATTTGCTCCGAGTTGTTTTCTGGCAGTGATCCTCGCGTGGCCATGAAGAACCGATGTGCGTGCTTTCTTGTCAAGCCCGCGTACGCCAACAAGAGCAGAACGGGAATGGGGGATTGATGATATCCCGTGTTGGCGGTGTGGATTGGGCTACTATGCTGGTGATGCGGGTCCAGCTTTGGAGCTTCAATTTTGGAATGCCACAGATCAAATGAAAAAAACGTTCTGGGAGGGGAAGAAACCAGCCCGGGCACGCAAAAGCAAAAGTAAAGGGGTGCAGGATGGACGAGCCGAGTTTATGCCTTCTCCAGGAGCACGGCAATACCCTGCGATGCCAATCAGCGCGCAAATTGGGAGAATGTGAGGAGACATGAGGCTATGGGATCGCCAACGCACGTGCCCGGGGCTTCCACAAGTCGAATCAACGCTCAAACGCACCTGGCCGCCACCGATGCAAGCAGTGCCAAGAGCCAGCTTGGTGTTGTCGTCGTTGGCGAGGCAGTGGGCAAGGTGGGTCAGGATGCGAGCACCAGACATGCCCAGGGGATGGCCAATGGCGATGGCACCACCGTGAATGTTCAACTTGCTGTGATCAATGTTGAGGGCCTTGGCCACAGCCAAGCACTGAGCGCCAAAGGCCTCATTGATTTCCACCTGGTCAACGTCAGCAATGGTACGACCCGCGGCCGCAAGGAGCTTCTCGGTGGCCGGAACAGGGCCGATACCCATGTGCTGCAAACAAGGCCAAGACGAAGAAGAAGATCAGAACACAAGGCAGAGGGACGGCATGAGCGTTGCCGAGAATCGGATCCATTCCCGCCCGGCGAGATGCAAGTGGTTAGTGGCAAGCGCAATGGGAAAGCATCAGGCATACCGTGGGGGGCACGCCAGCCGTCGAGTAGCCGACAACGCGAGCCAGGGGTGTGAGGCCGTGCGCCTTGACCGAGTCCTCATCGGCGAGGATGAGGGCAGCACCACCATCGCAAATGCCCGAGCTGCCGCCAGCCGTGACGACACCCGACTTCTTGAAGACGGTGGGCAGCTTGGCCAGGTCCTCGAGGCGAGTCTCCGGGCGGGGGTGCTCGTCCGTATCAACGACAACCGTCTTGCGGCGCTTCTGAACTTCCACGGGGGCCATCTCACGAGAGAAGATGCCGGCCTCGTGGGCCTTGCCCCAGAGCTGCTGGCTACGCAGAGCAAAGGCATCACAGTCGTCACGAGTGATGGCGTAATCCTCGGCCAAGTTCTCCGCAGTCACGCCCATGGGGGTGTTGCAGTATTGGTCCGTCAGACCAGCCCAGAGCGTATCCTCCATTTGAGGACTGGTGCCCTGTCATTGTGCACGCGTCAAAACCAAAGTGTGAGCATCATTTAAGGGAGGAAAAAAAGAAAGAAAAAAAAAAAAACACACGACATGCAAGCTGCGAGCTGGAGCATCGACCGGCACGAGAACGAACCAGCTTGGTACCAAAGCGGATGTTGCGCACGGCATAGGGGGCCTGGCTCATGTTCTCGGCACCACCTAATGGAACCGATGGTGTGCGTGAGGAAGAGAAAATAGGGCAGGTGGGATGGGAAGGAGGTGTGGAAAGCCTAGCGGAGCAGGACTCACCAGCCAAGCTGACGCCGGCCTCGCCAAGCACAATGTCACTAGAGAATGACAAGGATAGAGGTGAGCCAGGTTGCCCACACACGCACATGCACACCCACACCCACACACGCACGGCGGTGGCCAAAGCCAGATACAAAAAACATCAACAAAAACATTTGTTGATGCTCATCATCATCACATGACCGTCGTACCGAGCGGCTTGAGCGACGGCTTCAAAACCACTGCCGCAGAGGCGGTTGAGGGTCAGGGCCGGGGTCTCGATGTTGCAGCCAGCGTGCAGACCAATGTGGCGCGCCATGTACGAGGCATCGGTCGAGGTCTGCTGAACCTGAGCATCGGTCAAGGCACCAAACGAGCCAAAAATCAGGCAGAGCGAAAAACAAGCAAGAGTGGTGGTCAGCACGTGCATGCGTGTGCGTGGCAGCGCCATTCAACAGCGCCACAGCACCTTTCCCCGTTTCAGCTCAACAGAAAGAAGTCAAGAATTGGCAGAGAGCCTCGGATGCGCCGACCATGGGACGACCATGGACCGGCGAAACACCCTGGCAGGAAACGAGCGGGGCACACTGCCATTCAACGTCGAGTGATTCACATACGTTGCCAACGTGGATCGTGTCAATGAGAGAGGGGTCGACGTTGCCACTGGCCAGCGCATCCTTGGTGGCGACGGTCGCAAGCTGGGTCGCGGTCAGATCCTTGAAGGAACCACCAAACGCACCGCAGGGCGTACGCTTGGCTGCCACAATGTAGACGGCCTTGCTCAGGACGTTGACACCGCGCTTGCTGGCCATCGTGCCGGAGAGAGAGAGAGGGAAGAGAGCGAGAGAGAGAGAGACAGACAGAGAGAGAGAAGCTGGAGCTGAGGCGCAAAGGCAGAGGGGCGAGGCTGTGGTGATCAGGCGGTCGAGAAAATACAACACCTCTGCTTACTACCGCCAGAGATACACCCACTCGCAAGGTGAATTAGCAGAGAAGGGGAGGCCCTGCAAGTTTGTCATGCTTTTCGTGAGAGAGATCAAACACACACACACACACACACACACAAAAGTCACAACAACAAGTGTAAAGGCCATGCAACACACACAACACCCTCCAAGTTCCCACAACAACACAACAACTAACACACACACAATTGTCAGACTTGCAAGAAGGGTCTGTAGGCGAAGGAAGTGAGATTTGAGAGATCATGGCATGATGACAATCATTGTCATCATTTTCTGTCACCGCGACTGATTGCGTGCATGTATGCATGGGATGGCAGGCGGGGGTTGCCGATGCCCCGACACGGCTGCCCTGCAACCTGTATCTCAAATTGAGCGTCTCCTTGATTAAGGCGCCATGAGCCACTGGCTTGGTCGCCTTTTGCTATTACTTGGTGTTTGCAACTGAGCTGGATTCACTTTCAGTTCATTGTCTTTTTCGTCTCTCAAGTACGTGACTCTGCTCGGAAGGCTGGCGTTGCCTGGCATCGACGTCGTTGACACAGGCAACGCCATTGTCAGGACAACGACAAGCTACAGCCGCCGTACCAGCCCACCCCCTGGCCCCACCACTAAAACTCCCTGCGCCAGCCCAACGCCTCGCCCTCCTCCTCCACCTCTCATCTGGACAACGTTGCCTCGTTGTAGCTCAACTGCAGCTCGGCCGGGCCTTTTTGCGCCATTTGCGTCCCCTCAAACTCGAGGTTCGTCCTTTGTCGCCGGTCGAGAGCTCCAACCCCGGTAGCTGCTCTTGTCTAGGCGCAAGAGTCTGTCGTCATACGGACCCGTTGCGCTTCGATCGCTCATCGCATCTACCCCCTGCCATTTCTCGCCCTCAGCTTTGAGGGTGTCCGCCAGTCTTCTGTTTTTTGTGGCGCCTCCACCCTTGCTTTCGCACCCGCGTTCCGAAACAGCAGCGCCTCGAACATGGCCGCCCCGCGGCCGGCTCGCGACGACGATCCCAACATAACCCTTGTCACGCCCAAACCACAAGAGAATCGCGCTGCCTTCACCACCAGCTCTCAAAGTGCCGCTGGTCCCGTGGTAAGCTTTGCCCAGCCCTTGACCTCGCCCGTAGCAGTTGCATGCATTGGGCGTTGTTCCCTCATCCAACTTCACACACCCGCCGTCCCATCAATGCAGGAGAAGATTCATCAGTTTGTTGCTCAGCAGGGCCGTTCCAACTCTGCTCGCGCCCAAAGCAACGACCCCATGGCCACGGACGTACGCAATTACCTGCGCCAAAAGCAGAGCTCGGGCTTCTTCGACGAAGCCATCCACCAAGACTCTCCCCAAATGAACGTACGTTCACCCTCCGCTTCACACAATAACCACATGCAATGCAATTGAGTCAGCCTTGACCGGCGCCGATGGCCCCCGCTCCTGCACGACCTCTCACGTTTGCATCTTGATAGAACGTCATTGACAACGCCGCGTGGCAAGCGGATTGGTTCCATCCTACCAGCAACACAGATGAAGTACGCCATCTGCGCTGCCCACACACACATGGCAGGCCCATGCCCTCTTTTATCCCACCTCACCTCTTCATGCACCGCACTAGGTCATTGAGCTGGTTCCCAACGCTGATGGAGGCTTCGCTGTCCAGTACACCAAGCAGGAAGTTGTTTTGTTGGTCAAGTGAGTCGTGCCGTCCATTGTCATGGCCAGCAGCCACCCCCTCCTTCAACTTTGACGCCATCACGTGCTGACCGTCGTTCAACTTGATGCCCTATCCCATTGCTCCTGATAATAGCCATGATGGCAACGTCAACTCGTACCCGTTGGCACTCACCGACAATGACATTCGAATCTCGGGAAGCTTGAATGTCTTCCCCACCCTCTCTGCTCTCATTGCGGCCTACCAGTGCGTTGCGTGCTTGGTCGCCTTCATCGCGCTTTTTTGCTTGTTCGCCGCAGCAATGGCACACCCCCATTCTCTCTTGACGGCACAATACCTCGCCCACTCAACCTTTCTCTCTTTTTGGCCAACAGGGAAAGCGCACGAGACCTGAGCATTCAGCTCTTGGACAGCCGCAACGCAGCTGTCATCCCCCGGGAGGGCGAGGCCAACGTGGGCCAACCCATGCGCATCGCCGACGTTTGCGCTTGGTTGGAGACCATCCATTTTGATCAATACAAGTTTGTTGCCTTGGATCCCCTGCTTTGTTTTGATGTCATTTCCTTCTTTTCCCTGAATGAGGCAACGGATCCCATGCCCCACCGTTTCCGCTCATTGCCGCGGACTCTTGTCTTGACACCTGTGCCTTTGGCAATAGGCATGCTTTTGCCCGGCAAAAAGTTGACGGCCTCGTTCTTGCCGAGCTGACCCCGCAAATGCTGCAAGAGCGATTTGGCATGATGCAACGGGAAGCCGACGAGTTCATCGCTGAACGCGACGCTCTCGATCGAGGCGTACGTTTCACGACCATGCCCCTGCCCCTGCCCCTGCCCCTGCCTTGTTTTCCTCGCCGAAAACTCATAAAAAGACTCCCCTGCACCGTTGCTGTTACAGCGCATCACACTCCCGCTGTTTGTCGAACGCCATCGCCAAACATTCTACGTACGCGAAACCAATGTAAGTTTATGCACTGCCTTTGGCACCGCCGACCTGCGTTGCTCAAAGTTTTAAAAAACTCTGTCGTTTGCCTTCATTCATCAAGCCAACAACGCTTTGTTGTCATTTGCCACAGGGCCGCCTGCGGGTATTTGATGCTGATACCAACGAGGAAGTCTACAAAATGACCGACCAGATTCTGGCCAGCCTGCGCGAGACACACCCGCATTTGGCCAACAGGTTTGGCTGCCGCTTGACACTCGTGAACGTAGACCCAATACTGTTTCTGAATTATGCCGTTGCTGCGTTGCCTCTCAAGTTGATGGTCGCAACCAAACTACGTGTGGCTGGTAGGCTGAGTGAGCTCAAGGAGCCAGCCATTGGCGAATTCTGCTGGATGGGTGATGCTTTAGGATGGCAGCGGCGCATGTCCGATGGCCAGATGAAGAGTCAAAATGCCTGGGACAATGCCGACCTCCGTGCTTGGTTTGAGCACGTGAGTCTGCCCGAGCTCAGCGCCGTTCTAGCCACCGAGACCATGACGGGTGCCACATTTGCCAACGCCTCCACGGCGGATCTGCAAGCCCTTGCAGCCCCCCATGGCCTTGAAGGCGAAATTGAACGCGCCAAGGATCTGTTTCATTGCCGCGTCAAGCGTGCAGCCAACACCATGACCTCTGGTGTTTCAGCAGCCGACTCCCTCAACTTGGACTACGTGGACCCCTTTGCCATGACCGCCACCTGGTACTTTGGGACAGACCATGTTGCTGTACGTTCCTGATTAGGTTGAGCACATCTCGCTTCATCCCGCCCAGCCCAGCTTCAACAGAACAGTTACCAAGCACCCTGATCTCTCACCCACTCGCGTGTGTGCCTTGATGCTTTGCTTAATCAAATGTGGCGAATCGCCTGACACCAATTTTTTGCAATACATGTAGGCTCTGACAGACTTGGACGACTCTGAGGCACCAGATGGTGCCTTTGTCGTGTGTGAAAATCCCCAGCGCCACGGCGAGCTGATGCTTGAAGTCCTCCAAGACGGCGCCAATGTTGATCTGGCCATCAAGCCAGTAGACTCAGGCATCCAGCTGGAAGGCACCACGTACATTGCCAAGACACTCAGCGAACTGGTGGCCTACCACAGCGCCTACCACGAGGATCAGGAACAGCCGCCTCTGTTGTCACCAGAAACAGATCCCTTTCGTCATGAACGCATGCCTTGGTATCTCAACTTCACCCCGTCGATTGAGGATGTGCAAACCTTGCAAACTCGCCCCGTTGGCTCCTTCCTGTTGCATCCCAAGAATGGGTCGAAAGACTTTTGCCTGCAGATTCTGCGCGGGGTATGTCCAGTCCATCTGGTTGGGAGATTTTCCGTTTGTGCTGTTTGTTTCATTTGTTTTTGGCAGGAGACCTTACACTTGCTGCATCCCCTGGCCGGCCAAACGGTTGAAACTCAATCTCATGCGCATGCGTCGATAGTCGGACATTGGCAAATACTTCATTCAAAACGAAGAACAGGGCGTGCGCATCATGTCAAGCAAATACGTGTTTGCTACCTTTATGGACCTGATTGACTTTTACTCGTTTGTGCCGAGCAATGATCTTGCATTCAATTTGTACCGCGATGCCGCTCAGGAGGTGCCCATTTTGGCGATGGAAGCTGGTACGTTTTCGAGTCACATCCTTGTAACGTGTGGTGAATTGCCCGCTTTGAAGCTCCTCTGCTCGACACGTGGGCGTGCAACTGTGGCTGATGCGTTGCGAAACCCTTTAGAAGCAGAGGCGTGGCTCTACCCGGATCTGGATCGCGAGCGTGCCGAGCAATTACTGGTCAACAAGCCCGATGGGACTTTTGCCATTCGTGACGGCTCAGAGGAGGCGGCTTGGGTGCTCTCCTATGCATGCGGGGGCCAAGTGGAGCATGCTCACATGGATGCTGTGGAGACAGGCATTGGTCTGCGAGACCACGAGGCTCGCTTCCAAACCCTTCAAGCCTTTGTCGACTACTATTCCTCTTCGAGCCAGCGCGGGTTGCGCTGTCCACTTGGTGAGCTGCTGAGTGAGGATGCCGAACCCACGCCAAAGCACGAGCCTCTGTCTCGGCGCGACGAAGCCTCGTCCGGTCCCGGTGCCGAATTGGAGCCCCTGCAAACGGATGACTGGTTTCACCCCAACATGTCACGAGAAGAAGCCGAGACCCGCCTTGATGGCCAGCCCGATGGCGTGTTCTTGGTCCGCCGTTCGACAACCACCAATGCCCATGTCATCTCCTACGCAGCTGAGAACGAAACACACCACGCACTGGTTGATACCATCGAGGACGGCTTTGTTGTGCGAGACTCCAACACCGTTTTTGCTAGTTTGGACGTACTTATCAACTATCATCGCGACCCGAGCCAGGAAAACCTGCTACATCACCTGACCGTGCCCATCGCCGTGGCCCCCACCTCTGGTGCATCCCCCAATGCATCCCCTAACCCCCGCCCGAGCGGGCCTGTGCATAGCGCCGACATGCGGCGTGAGTCGTCTCAAAACGACCTACAGCCGGGAAGTGGGATTCTCGGCACGCGTCGCTATCCTTGGCTCATGTTGCACCCCCATTCGCGAGAGGCAGCATTGGACACGATTGCCAACCGCGAGGACGGGGCCTTTGTCATTCGCTCATCCCAGCGAGTTCCCGAGTGCATGGTGCTGAGCTTTGTCAATGGGGATCGCATTTTGCATGAGCTCATTGTCGTTGACATTGACGAGCGGGACAACGAGATTGGCTTGCATTTGATGATCGACGATCAGCGTATTTTCCCGGATGTGCGCTCTCTTGTGGTACGAGCTTTGCCGAAATTTCACAATGCCTCACATGCTCGGGCCAAACCGACCCATGCGCTATGCACATGCTAAACACCGCTTTCCCCCCCCCTCCCCTTTTTTTTTCTGACGCCCACAGGATTTTCATTCGCAGCACAAGCGAGTCTTACCCGTGCTTCTGTGTGAAGATGCGCAGGAGCGAGCCTCCTCCCGCCGTCTGACCATGGGCGCAGTGTCGATGGTGGGCGACCGTTCGGCCCGCACTCAAGAAGACGTGTACACCTATGAAACCGACGCCAACGGTCCTGTCACGGGCTTTCTGCGCGAGACAGCTCCTTGGATCGTGACTGGCTTGCGCGAGCAGGATGCCCTCTCGCTCATCTATGACAAGCCAGATGGCACCTTCATTGTGCGCCCCAGTGACCACGCCCAAGCTAGTCTTGTGCTGTGTTACATCTTTCAGGGCATGGTTGAACAGGAGCTGATTGTGATGCACGAGGAGGGCTTTTCACTGCGTCGGCACACCTCTCAGACCTTCTCTACCCTGCACGACATGGTGGTACGTTGAAACCCATGGGCGGGCAACAACGGGCAACATTGCGAGCAATGACAGACAGGCAGACTTTTAGTGATTTATCTCACGACCACCACCTTGTGTTTCTGGCGCTTAGGCATATTACTCACAGTACCAAGCGGTGCTCAAGTGTTGTCTGCGACAGTTTGACTCGGTCTTACAGCTGCAATCGGCTCAGCAGAGCAACATGTTTAACCAGCAGCAGCAACAACAGCAAAGCAGTCACATGCAGCGTGGCCAAAGCAATATGCAGGTCGGTCCCCTCGCCCATCTAGCCGGCCTGCTTACAAAGACTGTGCTCCTGGCCCTCCTCATTCTATATGTATCTGGCATATTGCTCTTGGGTAGCTTGCTTACCCCACATCAATGGCACAGCACCGCGAGGAAACACTGACCATTGACAAGCAAAGACGCATGTCGCGGGCCATTTTGCAGAACTCGGGCACGCTGGATTTCAACAATACGGTGTTCTTCGCCAATGATGAGCCCCAGGCCTCGTCTCGCACCCTGCGCCGCAATCAGCTGGCCCTGCCGGCTCCCTCTTCAAATAGTCAACACAACTCCGACGGCCGAAAGCATTATCACCAACGTCACCATCGCCACCATCACCACCACGGCGGGCATTCGTCCTCGCATTCCCGACACCACGAGTCATCCGACTCACGTGGGCACCGCCGCTACGGCAGCAACTCTTCCTTGTCTTCAGTTTCCAGCGATGAGGCTGAGCGCCGCCGTCGCTACGACAACGAACGCCGTCGCCGCCATCGCAGGAGCCGATATCAAAGCCAGCGCAGGTCTCATGCTGACCGTGGCTATGCAGGGCGCCACGAGAGCCGCCTCAGCTCTGGCCGCTACTCGCGGCCTGAACATGATGACTACGGCCATAAGAGTCAAGGCCGGTCAAGCCGCGGCTACGACAGCCTGGGTCACGGGGGTCGGGGAAGCCACGGCGAAAATCGCAGCCACTACCATCACCATCATGAACATCACCGCCACCATGGTGGCCATCGACATTCGCGCGCAAATGGCGCCTATCGCGTGTACGAGGAAGAGCCTCGCCGGTACTCACGCCAGGTGTCCGAGGGCACTCAGACCCGGCAGCGCAAGGCCAATGAAGGGACCCAAACCCGCCCTCGCAAGTCTACTGAATACACCCAAACGCGTCGCTCGGCCGATGACACCTTGCCAACGCGTCCTCGCAGCCGATCCGAGGTGGGTGCACGAGCAGGATACGGCTTTGTCGTGTTAATGCTCTGATCTCACTTCACTTTTTTTGCCTTTTGTGTGCGATGGCATGCTATGCAGTCAAAACGTCGCTCGTCCATGGTGATCATTGACGAGGACTATTCCTGGCTTCAGATGGATTACACCAAAAACGAAGTCAAGGTGCGTCCTTTGAGTTTGCTTCTTGCTAAATGCCGCATCGTAGCCTGGGGTCGAGAGCCAAGACTGCTGGAAAGTGTACCTTCCGTCTGGCACATTGACGCCACATCTTTTGCCCGACAGAACCGCGTGCCGTACGAAACCGGCGCCTTTGTAATGCATCAATCCAAGCACAAAGGTCATGTGGCGACTCTGACCTATCGCGACAAGAACTGGAAACTGCGATCAGTTGAGGTGGTCCGGCGTAAGGATAACCGCAGTAAGTGCCATCTCGCAAGAATAGCATGTGGCACACACATCATCAGACCAGCTGGTCTGATGATGACACACGTCAGCCACTACGTGGACAAAGCAGGGGTGCATCGGGCTCTCAAGTCCCCCTACACTCACAATTTGGCTGCGCTCATATCGATCATAGTTGCTTTGGCGCACAGCGATAAAACATTCAAGGCCAAGCGAGACCTGGTCTACTACTATGCCGAGAACACGCGCTCCGTGCTCGGCACGCGCTTGCGACTGCCTACCAGCCAAGTCTAATACGACGTATGTCCGTTGGGTGTGAACAGGGCCTCAACACCACAAAGGCCTGTGTAGGACCTGGACGACGAGCGGATGCACCGCATTGTTTCTTGTGTATGTCAAAATATGACCGTGTAGTGTGTTCTGCATGTACAGCATGAAACGCCAATGAGCGTGTCTATGGGTGTGGGATTCTTGCAAGCAATTCGGCGCCTGCGAATTGAACCGCACAAATTTTCCGATTATTTTTGTGAATTTATCGCAAATGGCGACCGTTTGCAGAGTGTTTACTAGACTGGCTCCGACAATGATAATGTTCACATCATCATTATCATGTTGAGTGATTACACGAATCTGTGCTCGGGTCCTGTGGTGCTTATATCGCAACAAGCAGCCGCAGGCAACCCGGTATTATCAAAGTCTCTTTATGAGCTCCCCTCTTTATCACATCCCAGCAAAACCCATGTCTTCTTCTTGTTTATCCAGCATCACTGTGCAGCGCTTCTTAGATAGGGTCGCTAGTGTTTCAAATGGGAGAAGCATCGGGAGAGTGGAAGGAACGATTGGCCTCGAGGCATGTGGGTTGATTAACATGTAAAATTTTTATGTCTCTGGCATACAGCAGGTGTTGCTGGAATAAAGGCGCTGGGCAAGCATGGAACAAGACGCTTAATTGGGCCACGGGGACCCGAGATCGAGGGTAGTCCAGGCTTGGTCCTCGGAAACCGCGTGCTTCTCAGGGACATCGCGGGGTTGATGGGGCCCACAAATGGAGAGGGCACTCATTGGGGGGCTGATGCGGTGCGGGGTTTGGAAAAACGTGCAGAAAGGACCAATATGCAGAGTCCTGCACTGCCATTCGCTCTGCTTTGTGCTCAGGAAGGTTTGAATGCTAATGTGTTGTTGCAGGAGGTACATGGCTTGTCGAAAGGCGAGTTGTACGTTGTGAACGCATCCATACCGGGTTTGATCGAGATCCGGGTGCTCCTGAAACTCCACCAAGGCTACCCAAGCTTCGAGCACTGCGACCAGCAAGCGCCGTGTTTGCAGCACACCCAAGTCAATGGCCATCAGTGTTGGACTGATTTCATGCTCGTCGATGTATCGCTTGCCGCTGGCACGATAGGAGAGCAGTACCGGCGGAACCGGTAGGTCAGCACGGTTGCAGCTTCCACTGTTTGGAGTGCTGGCTTGCATAGCCACAAAGTTTTCGTCTTCGAGAACAGCAAAGATGCTTTCCCACGTGGAACGGCAGACTACATTCTCGACATCAAGCGCCACGACACGGCGGTATGGTGAGGCGATGAGGGCCAGCACGTTGCGCAGTTCCAGGCTCGGCTCTACCAGGAGGCCATTCCATCGCTCCGGGAGGTCCTTGGCAAAGGCGCTGTGTGGCGCATTCAAAATGATGGTCTGGTAGCGTTCGGCGAGTGACTGTTGCCGCACTTCACCCATGCGCAACCAAATGAGCTTGTCAATAGCCAGCATAAAGTTGACCGCAACCTCCCCACACATGTTGCCTGTGACCGCCTTGAATGCCGGCCCCGTGGTGGCGCGAGCTGCCGCAGCATCACGGGCCACCACGGCCGCACGCACAATGTCATCGAGCGCTGCTTGCTCGAGGCCGTCCACCAGGCTATCCTTGGGCACACCCACGGTCCAGATGACAGCGCAGGGCCCCACAGGGTCGTGTTTAACCATGCGCATGGTATCGAGATATCGACGCGTTCGGGTGGGACGCACAATCCAACTCTCCCGGGGCCAACCGGTCAGTGGGTTGGCGTCTTCCACCTCCAAGCTTGCCTCTGGCAGGCCCTCAAGGGTTTCTGTAATGCTCCCATCTCGACGAATGGCAAAGGGTGCAATCATGCTATTGCCTCCCAGTGGTGTGGTGATGGCGGTCATGTATTGGTTGCTGGCATCCAACGCTGTCACGGGG